AGGTTCATTAACCAACCTGTGAATGTGGCTAGAAAGGAAAACCAAGGGACTGAGTAGCTTGTTTCCAGGGACCATGGGTTGGCTTTCCTCTCTCCTTGAAGTTGTGTTCCCCTTCCTGAAATGAATTCTCTCTCTAATGCACTTCCACACCATCCTAGAAAGCATAAAGGTGAGTCTGAGTGTCTGATAGTCTTTAGTCTCTTTGTCAAGCTTCCCACACAGGGTACGTACCAAATAATTTTTCCTCTGATACATGCTACAGTGTCTTAGATGTATTTAGTGTCATCAAGTAATTTCAAACGTGTCAAGAATGGATTGATGGACTGGTGTATGGATTTTGAGTGTAAACTTGTGGGGAAGCTTGGAGTTTTGTAAATGTTCAAAGAAAACTCAAAGAAACTCTAGTCACCAGGCTGGTACACTTGAAACTGGGACTGTGGTACCAGTTAGTTTCTAGTCTCTTTCTGTGGCTACAGTTTTGGAAAATTTAAAGAAAAATCATTGCACCATTTAGTACTTCCTAGAAATAACTAAGATGGTCTTAACTGAGGGTTATTATTTAACTACTTAATGGTTCAGCATCTTATGTTGTTTACATTTCATTTGTTCATTTGGAAGGTAAGGTAGAAGAGAAGGGCAGGGAGGGTTTGCCTCCACAATACAATTTCATTTCCTAAGAAGTAGTTTCATTGCAAGTAATAATAAACCTGAGTCTGTGCCAGGGTAGCTGTGGTCAGAGTGGAAATGAAGCTAGAAACCACATTCAATCTATGATTTCTAAGGCAGTCAGGTCTGAGGTAGACCAGAATAACCTTCTGTATGAGTTACAGAACAAGGCACTATTGATGTTCTATACTTTTTTTCCTTTTATTAGTCTTCAAATGATTGGAACAGTTTTTCAATTATTTGTCATTTTTTTTCTTGTATTTTGCTGAGGTGAATCATAATGAAATCTGAATGGAGAAAAACAAAACACCCCAATAATCACAGAAGGACACTTCAAACTCTCCACATTTGATCATTGACTGAGCTCATTTTGAATGAAGCTTTATTGATAGTGGTGAGTTACAGACACCACACACATTTCAGTTTGTTGTTCCTTATATAGTGCCAGAATGTTTGAAGCAAACAAAGATTTTTTTTTTTTTTTTGCCAAAAGTTGCCAAATAAACACAGAGATTTCCAGGAGTATCGAAGATATATATTTTGTTTCAAGTTCTATGAGAGGGAAGTTTAAATGGTCTATACCTTCTTAATGTGCTGGAGGGTAAATCTTTAATGTTTTAGAATATAGTTCTTGTAATCACCATGGAGGAGTGTTAGAGAAACTAACACTATAGTTTTTACCAGTGTGAAAAGAAATACTGAAAAATAATTCCTTTCAATGCTGCCTGTGCTAAAGACATATTCCCTAGTAGTTGGGAGGGTGATCTAGCTCATTTAGAGAAGATTCATTCAGACAAGAATTCAGAATTCAGGGAAGATTATATAAATTCCTTTTTTTTTTTTTTTTGTAAGTCAGGAAAAAATTACCTAAAGGAAGTGATTTTGGGTTCTTTTACTTGGTAACTTAGATGAATTTTGAAGATTTTTGACCAGGATAACCAGCAAAAGATTGACTTTTTAATACATACTTCCAGGTAAACCCCTATTTACATGCATGTTTGCAAAATACACTTAGTATATAATTGTTGCTCTGCCTCAGATTACAGAACTGTTCAGCACATTCTCACTTCCTTATTACTTCAACTTTACCTCTTCACTCATAACATTCATTACCATTTTAATCATTCTTTAGACTATTCATCTGTACTATCACTGACCTTCTCTATTCATTACCATTCTTATAGGAGTAGAAATAAAACTCAGTGGATGCTAATGAAAGCAACTAATGTATGAGAAATAACAACCTGGCATCACGAGCCTGACTAAAAACAGACAGACCACATTAGAAGTCTGGCTTCATGGAGACTTGCACATTAGGTCTCTGACCCGTTCAGAAAGGGAGAGCTTGAATTCTATTATTTCAGCTGCTGGGGAACATGCTCTTTTTCAGATACAATGAACCATGCTTTTATTTATTCCTAGGGCTCTGGCATCACAAAAATAACAAGTCCTTTTCTCAGAAAAATAAAAGAAGTTCAGGGCTGGATCCTAAGATTGGGGAGTGTAGTTGAGTGTACACTTGAAGCACAATAAAATGAAGTAATTTTCCATTTGGGAAACATGGAGAAACTGTCAAATTTTCCAGGAGCAACTGCTTCTACATTTGGGTTAAAGAGTAAGTTTCACTTACACAGGAAAGGTGGCTCACATTAATTTGATTCTGTACGCTTTCTTTTCTTTCCATTGTTAATTCAGGAATACAAAACTTTCACTGACTTTATGTTCCATAATCTCTATCAATTTGTTATGTTGGAAAATCTGGTATTTCAAATTCACATTGGTATTTATTTATTATCTTAACAGCTGAAGCAGAAGTTAGAACAGCATTGCACCTAGGAAGATGGCAAACCCAGATATGTATTTTCTGAGTCTTTTTATAAACAATGTAGAAAGTATATTAAATTGTAATTTCCAATGATTTATCCAGGTCCGACATGTCTTTAGTTACATCTCTGGAAATTTACTGCTAAGTTTTTGTACAAGTTCACTTATCAGATGCTTATGAAAAAAAAAAAGTTTGGTTTCAGCATCTCTCCTTAATCTTTCATGATAAAAGATTACAATTAATTAATTGTTATATCATTCCAAGCCTTACATCCTCTGTTTCAAAATACTTTTAAGATCTCAATTGGAGACACATCTGTTGCACATGAATGAATTATGTCTGTTTGCTCATTTATGACTTCTAACCCAGTGACAAATCACTTTTTTCCCTCTCAAAATTAGCAGTATATTATAGGCTTCTCAATTATATCACAATCTATATACCAAGCTAAAAGATGTCATGGTCATTCTCAATAGTCTTTGCAAGTTGTGGTCCAAATAATTTATTAAAAGTGAAAAGTTTGTTTTACTGCCTAGGGTTGTGTATTAGTAACTTACATGCTTGGTGATTTAGTTTTCTCCATAAACTAGTTTCTTACTCAGTTTTACAGTCTAGGAAATTAAGGAGTCAAGGGAGCAGGTACCTTTAAATTGTTCTGTATTTGGAAAAACTCCTCAAGCTATGTGTGGGGTGAAAAACAAGCCAAGTGTTTTTTATATGGCTAACTCTTGTTCACAATATATAATGTTTATAGCCTTAACTGTTACCATTAAATACTTAGATTGAAATTTTCATGGGGGCAATGATATAAAATTGTTCCACTACTTATACTATACGAACACTTTTCACAGTTCAAATAAAGTATTTTAAATATAAACATGGTAACTATAAATAACCTATCTATACAAGACGGGAGAAGGTAGGATTTATGAAAACCCAGTTATATTTCCAAATGTTTCAAGTTTAATTATTTAAACAGTTTGTTTTATTTTTCAAATTCCAATTGCACATATCCCATAATTGATAGGCTACATCCCCTGCAAGACAAATAAACTCTCCAAGAACAAAGTAATAAATTATAAGAAAGGAAAATATATATCATTTACTACAATCATTTTCTTGCTCCAAAACTTGGCAAACATTTAAGAAAAAATGATATTGAATGGATACAATTTTAATTTGCAAAACTAATTTGGAGCAGATGAGATAAAAAAATAACAGAATGGGCATATATTATTTTGATATTTTTATGTGAAATGAATATGTTATTTTTTACTTAGGAAATCAATATATAATTTGCAGAATGATTATAATTATATATTGTGTTGCATATTTAAAAGTTGCTAAGAGAATAGATCTTAAGAAGTTCTCATCAAAAGAAAAAATTTTTGTAACTATATCTGGTGATGGATGTTAACTAGATTTATTGTGCTGATAATTTTAAAATCTATATAATATCAAATCATTAAATGGTACATCTGAAAGTAATAAGAGGTTATGTATCAATTACACTTCAATTAAAAAAATCAGGATTGTTATGAAATGGGAAACAATGGCATTTACTAACAGGAAGACCCAGCCATCCTGTTATTGACAAATCCAAACAATTTCAAATGTTTCCTTCATTCTCATCCATTCTCATCCAAAAAAACAAAAGAAATCAAATTATTGTTATAGGTTGTATGACCTTCAGGCTTTAGAATCTTTAAGTTAGTGATTCTTAAGGGCAAGTTTTATATTTTGATATTCCCAGGACTTCTATTAGGGCCAAAGCTGCCTTTAGACATGTTGGTGTCCTTTTTTAAGGTGAAGGTAACGCTCTCAGGATATTTGAAATTCTTTTAATAGGGGACTAGGGCCAAAGTGCAGTCACTTGTAGGAGAAACAACATGATCTAAATTTACACTATACATTAAATGACTGTTAATACTTCCTTCTTTGAGAGCAGGACTTTATGATAGAAAATGCCTGGGGCCACGGCACAGAGGAAGAGCAAATCATCTCTAAACCAAAGGTATCAACTTGACAGTCCTGGGGTGGAATTCCTGTCACTTTTCAGTCAGACTTAGTTTTGAGCTTTTTGACTTTGTCCTAGGATGCCTTCAAGAATCCTTACTCAGTCATGTAAAGGGAAATAAACTGCACTGGAATACAGAAGTAAATTTTAAGACCTTCTAGATACTGACAGATTTCCATTTTAAAATACGACATACAAATGAATATTTTAAACTTCCTAAAGAAAAAGAGAGGAAAACAAACTTTTGTACCTGAAGTCTTTTACTGCCATATGTTCCACGGGTACTAAAGTGTAGAAGAAAAATCTCAGCTGTAGGTGTTAACCATTATGCATTTAGCAAACACGCCAAGATGAACTAGTGCCTTTCACGAATTCTGTCTGCCACCCTGTGGTCGCTGAAACAAATGGTTTCTTGCCTTTGTTGATCAGAGCTCTGTATTTTGCTCTTACAACAACAAAGACGCAGAGGTAGATTAAAACCATCAAGACGCATGCCTCGATATATTTTAAAACACAATCATTGTAGTAAATGTTCTATATTTTCCTTTTCGCTAACTCAAAGCTTAATCACGAATACATATTTGTTCTTCCTGCATCCCCGCATCTACCTGGGTTCAGATACTGACTGGCACGGAAGACACCGAGCTGGCTCGGGATTCCCGGGTCACGTTGTTGGGCATCGAGAGGGTACAGCAGGACACGCCCACGGTCGCCTCGGGCAGCTCGTCGTCCTCCGTCCACTCGTTGAGCTCAGGGTTGAAGCACTGGATACACTTCTTGTACTTCTTCTCTCCCTCGTTCCAGCCCCCCACCAGGTAGGCGCGCCCGTGCAGCGCCGAGGCCCCCGCGGTGCTCACGCCCACCTGCAGCGGCGCCGCGTAGCTCCATTGGCGGGACGCGGGGCTGTAGCACTCCACGGTCAGCACGTCCACGCGCTCCCCGCGCGGCCCCAGCTGACTGCCCCCCATCACATACACCCTGTCGCCCAGCGTGACGGCGCAGTGCCAGCCTCGGGGCGTGCTCAGGCTTTGCAGCTCCTGCCACGAGTCGCTGGCCGGGTCGTACGCGCACACAGAGCGCGAGTACGCATTGCCAATGTAACCTCCGGCCACCAGCACTCGGCCTTCGGTGACCGCACTGGCGTGGCAGCAGCGCGCCACCTCCAGGGGTGCCTTCGGCTGCCACTGATTGGTGGAGGGCACGTAGCACTCCAGCGAGGCCAAGCTGCCTTCGGGGTTGCGGCCGCCCACAGCATAAAGGAGCCCGTTAAACACGCTCAGGCTGAAGTGCGTGCGCTTCTGAGTCATGCTGGCCAGGTGTATCCAGGAGTTGAAGCGGGGGTCGTATCTGAAATGGCAGAAGAAATGTGACAGCCTTGTCGGTGGCTGCAGGTGAACCCATGGGAGCCCGCAAATTATAATGTAGGCATCTTGACACTTATTGACAGCCAGGGGGCGAGGAACCTAGTGCAGCTCCACACCTGAACGTTGGTGTTTTGTCTATCAGCCAGTAAAAATGTATGACACTTGGAAAAGGCAAAGCAGGCATTGGGGGAGGGTGGAGGTGACCACTCACTGCCTTTATCCAGCCACTTAGAGAAAACCGCACGGAGACCTACTCTCAGTGCCCTTTGCTCCGTTTTGATATATCCACCAGCCAGAATTTAGGAGACGTGCATGTCGGAAAGAGGCTGGGAGCCGGGTTATTTGTAGCAATCAGAAAAGGGAACCTCACCACATTCAAGTCAACTCCCCCTAACTTCAGATACCAACCACCCCTGGTTCACCCCTAGGAGCTAATTGGATTTCTCCATTTCTCACAAACCCTTTGCTATTTTTTAAAAAAGATTTATTTTTATTTATGAATACAAGAACTGGGGTATAGGCCAGAGGTGTGGGATTGAGAGGATTCACCTGAGACAGAATGAGAACAGGCAGATCTACTGAAATACACTGCTGAGGGGAGCAGTGGGCGAGACAGGAGAGGTCTGCCTTGATAGCTTGATATTGCTAAGTTTAACCCCTGCTCTACTAGGGAGGCCCAAACCCCTTGTTATTTATACACCTAATCTGGCCATTGTAGCAGTAGAGCCCAGTCACTCAACCAGTCTTCTTTCATCTGTTTAGAATCGTATTAGTGAACAGCATGTCCAAAAGCATCAGCAAAGCCTTAACTTTTGATACTTCTCTATTTTCCTAGTGTTTACCAGTAGGTAAGAGTTTTCAATTTAGGGACTTTCACCCCAAGGCTCAATATTAATACCAATATACTACAAGCTCTGAAATCACTAACAGTCACTTGAGTACTCATAGGTGAGTTATAAGTAGGAGGAAAATAGCATAGTAATCCGATGCTTTCCTGTTTGCATAGTTCCAAAGTACTATAAAAACAGTACTCCTTTGTTTTGACTCCTCTTTGTCTCACTTAAGCCTCCAAATCAAAACTTTACTATAGTTATAAATTAAAAGACTAAAAATCAATGCATAGCTTGCATTCTTTTAAATGATAAATACAGAATAAAGTGAGTGTTTTTCATGATATACTGTACAAATTTTCAGATCTTGTTCATTAGTTCTGTTTGATTTTGTACAAGCCTGGCTTTCTGAATATTTTACCTATATGGCAGTTTAATTTGCTATAAATACTCAATATATATATATGGCATTTGAATTCCATTTTATGGAGGATTTGTTTTCACTCTTTCTAAATACATCAAAAAATGATGTTTTCTATGCTATTCTGCCTTTAAATATTTAAAATTAGCTGCCACATTTTATTTGCCAATTATGAATCTGACAGTCATCAGAGTCACTTAAAATAAAATTTGTATTGTTTTAGTCTTTCTTACCACTTAAGGTTAAAAAAACTAGATTTGTGCCCAGTGTCTTTCAGAAAGACAGTGTATTGCAATGAGCACCTGACTGGAAATGAGAAAATGTAAATTGCCGCTTACTAGAGGTATAAATTCTCTATAGCACATTTCTCATATGTAAAATCAAATTATTCATGTCTTGCTTGCACTTCACAGACTTGTTTTAGAAATCTAGAGTGCATGATATATGTGAGTGAATGCATGTTATATAATTTGAAGATTGTTTATATATAAGGTGGCGTTATTTCTGTTGATTTATGGAGCCAGTGAACTAAGTTAATAGGTATGACTAACTATGTCAGGTTAAATTCCTCAAACTATTGAGCCATTTCAGTTTCTGACAACGCATCAAGTACCTGCAGAAATTGCTGACTGCATGCTTGGCTTGATTTCTTGCATCATTCTGGTCTTCACCACCAGCCACATAGAGAAATCCATCCATTACAGCCACACACTGATTGAAACTCTTGGCTGGCATTTCCGTAAGCTTGCTCCATCCATTTTCAGGATCTCTATACAAGATGTCTCTACTAAGGGACTTCTCAGTAAGGCCTGGGCGACCCCCAATAGTGAGGAGGACTCGACAGGCCCCACGGATTCTTGTGCGCCTAGACTGCAATGTGTTTTGATGATATGGAAGCAAGTGGTAGTTCATAGCATCTACGAGAAGTTTGTGACAATCGGCATCTTGCATCATTCTTGGTACAGACTGAACATAATTGACCAGGTCTTGCGCAGAGATGGTGCCAAAGCGAATGTTGCTTAAAAGATCTGCAGCATGTTTCATTCTCTTTTGGTCAAATTCTAACCATTTCATTGCAATCTGGAATGCTACTATTTCAGAAGGCAACTGTAAATCATCATCTATAAGGAGTTCATTAATCTGCTCAAATGTAAGTTTCATAAAATGATCTGATTCTGCAAATTCAAGGAAGTTATCGCGGATAAATTTTTGGGCTGCTGCTTTGGCAGTTTTCAGGGAGTATGTTTCAGCAATGTTAGCGATATACATGCAGTTCTCAACACTCATTTCTCGTATCAGAAAATCACTGCACATCTTTACTAGAGTGTGTATCTGAAGATACACAGCAGCAGATATAATGCTTCCTATTGTATACAGGGAGAGAGTCAGTTTGCCAGTGTAGGCATAGGCAATGACAGTGGCCAGGCCCAGAGGTGAGATATCATTGAGATCCACTCTTTGGGTAGATGGGTCTTTTTTAAGGATGTTGTAAAAGTACTCACTGCATGAAGCCATCACTGATCTGTGAACATCAAAGGATTTGGTTTTGGTGCCAATGACTAAGTCACAAAGGAAGCTCTCCTGACGCATTTTACTTAAACCTTCCAGAAGGTTGGGGCCATAAGAAGCATCTGTTAATTCAGAAGAAATGCAATTAAGACCATTGCCTCCTTCCAGGAGCCCATTCAAAGCATTCAGTTTGTTTAGGGGGCTGTCTTCTACAATGATGGTTGTCTCGTTGAGGTCTCCTTTGTTCTTTTTGACTGGCTTCTTTTTGGGAGCCATGTTGGCAACACGCTGACACGGGCAAGAGCTTGCTTAAAAAAAAAAAAAAAAACAAAAAACACAACAATATAGTTTTGTTTTAACTGTGCTTTGAGAAAAACTTTTTAATAATATTTTTTGATGGCATAATGTAGATTGACTCTCAAAAGTAGACTTAAAGACTTACATTAAATGAGATGAACATTTTACTGATGGTTTATTTCAGCATCAAGCATTGAAAGTAATTCCGGAAAGATTTATATTAGCCAATGAGACCCCTTCCTAGCTGTGTTGCCAAGTATTTTATGTAGTGGAGATAACCAAATAGTCTCTGACCTAGCTGTGTAGTCATTATAGAATAGTAGTTGAACATTATTTGAAGGGATTGGTTTACTCTCACAGAGAAAGTGAATTATAACTCCTCTGAAGTTTTTGTCAAGAAAATACTGAAATTCAGGAATCTGTGTAATATATAGAATTTGAATATATATACTTAGAGCTGGATAAATGGGACATTAAACATCAATGGGTAAAAGAAGGGAAGAAGGAAAGGGGGTGAGTAAATTCGATAAATGAGTCAACTGGTTAGGTATAAAGTGAGACTGTGCACCTGAAACCCATAAAATGTTATAAACCAGTGTTACTTCAATAAAAAACAAGAGAAAAAACTCAGTGGTAAGGACTGTAATGACGGCATTAGTTCAACTGCTTTCTTCTCTACATCGTCTTGCAGATGAATTAAATATCTAAATCACACACATACACATACAAATTTATAAGGACTAGAAAAAAAACTAGTTTTTAAAAGAAATTTAGCATAGCAAATGTCCCCTTAAACATAACACATAATCCAGAAGCCATAAAGGAAAAGACTGAAATATCTGAATATAGAAAAAAAAAAAAAGAAAACTTCTATAAAACAACACCAAGTATTTAAAAGACAATCAACAGGCTGGGAAAAGAAATATAACATTTTTAACAGATAAAAGGTTAGTTGACAACAGTTATGAGTTCCTACAAATCAACCCAAAAAAAAGATAATCCAATCAAAACTAAGCAAAGACTATGACGAGGTAACTAGGAAGTTCATAGATAATTAATACAAATAATAAATATTTTTGAAAGCTAAACTAATAATAATCAGGACATTATTACCTGAAATGCAAAGATTCTTTTATTCTTTTAATTTTGGGGGTCAAATTTTATCAGATGGTTAAAATATTTCTAAATGTTTATAATATCAGATATTGTTGTGATACTCTCCATATATTGTGATAGCAGTATAACTGATACAGTCTTTGGATGACAACTTGGCAATCTATCAAAAATTGAAATGATTTTTATGTTTTGACACTAAAATTGTAAATATGGGAGTGTGCCTCATAGAGACATATTGGTATAGAGATTATGTTTACATGGTCTCACATATTAAGCATAGTAACTACTTTCCCATTATCAATTTTATAATTCTCTGAACCTGATTTTAAACATGTATTAAGTGTGGTTTTAGTTCTTAATGTAGATCTGAACAATGCTGGTTTAAACATAAATTTGAAATATAAGTTTATCAAATAGGTATAAAGTATTTAAATATCATAGATTAAATTATTTTAGCTTTTTCTCAAAACATTGATAATACTTGGATTTTTAAATAGATTTGATTTACTACATTGTAGTATTCCCTTATTGGGGGGAGATTACTAGTGTTGCTTTTTAAAATTTATTTTAAAAATTAAACAATCAATATATATAACTCACCAACTCCAGTTTGGTATATATTATTTCAGAGAATTGGTTATACATAAATTTATCCCTGCATGTTTTTGAGCAGTGGTGTGGCAATAAAATGAATCTGTATACTTGCTAAGTGTCTTCATTTTGTGTGAAGTGGTACAATATAAACTAATGTAGCCTGTGAAATTTTAACTTTGCATATTATAATCTCTAGAGTCATGCTGTCCTATATAAATATAACATGAGCCACACAGGCAATTAAAAAAATTATAGGAGTCATATTAAAAAGGTAAGAAGAAACGTGTAATTGATTTTAAGAATATATTTTATTTAACCTAATACATATAAAATATCATTTTTAACATGCAGTTACTATAAAATTATTAATGTGAAGTGTTTTTTTTTAATACTAAGTCTTCAAAATCCATGCTTTATTTTATACAGTACATCTCACTTTGAACTGGCCAAACCTCAAGGTTTAATAGCCATATGTGACTGGGAACTATGGTATTGGACAGCAGAGCCCTAGAGCAAACAGTTGAAGATTGCAAAGTGTAGTTGGAAAATCAACAGATAAATTTAAATGGAATTCAAAAAAGAGCAGGAAAATTGGAATAGATGGACAAAGAGGTGAGGGAACAAAGAAAATGGATAATTTAATGGTAAACAGAAATCTAAGTATAGTAAAAGTTAATGAGTGAAACATTTTGATTAAAAGGCACAGACTGTCAGAATGGATAAGAAAGTAGTCCCAAATTTATGCTGTTTACAAGAGACTTACAATAAATATAAAGACACAATGAAGTAGAAAATAAATGGCCGGAAAAAGATTTAACATGGAAATAATGGACATAAGAAGGCTAGACTGGCTATATTAATTATCAGGTAAAACAGATTTCAAGAACAACACAATTACTAATCATAAAGAGTGGGCTTCGTGGTAAAAGAGTTAATTCATCAGGATGATATAATAATCCCAAATATGTGTGTGTGAATGATAGCGCTCCGAAATGTACAAAGTGAAAAGTAACAGAATGGGAGAAATAGGCAATTCCTCACTTGTATTTGAAAATGTTAACTCTTCCTCAGCAACTGATAGAACACTAGGTGCCACCCCTCCAAAATCAGTAAACAGGTAGATTATCTCAACAGTATTAATTACCCTGACTTAAATGATATTTATAGAACATTACACCCAACAACCGCAGAGTACAAATTCTTCTCAAGTGTACAGGGTACACTTGAGTGTACTTTTCACCAAGATAGATCCTATGCTGGGTGACAAAACATATATCAGTAAAATTTAAAAACATTAAAGTTGTCCAGAATATTCTCTCTGCCCCAAATAGAATTAAATTAGAACTTAATAACAATGGACTAGGAAAACCACCATTTGGAAATTTAACAATGTGCTTCTAAATAATCCATGAATCAAAAAAAGTAATCACAAGGGAAATTAGGTAACACATCAAACTGAATGACAATGAAAATACACATAAGTGCTAGTTCCATTACTTATCCCAGGTGTGACTTTTTTTTTTTTTTTTTTTTGTGGGACCCTCGCTGGTGGCCAGCTGGCCAGGGAATGAACCAGTGCTGCAGAGGCTGCGGGCACCAACCACTGCTCAATCGCTGCGCCACCAGGGGAGGCCCCCAGGTGTGACTTTTAATAGTTAACCTCTTGGCATTTTCACTGGCTTATCTCTGAAGTGAAGATAATAATAGTGCTGGCCTATAGGACTGTTGATAAAAACTTTGTGAGGAAATGTCCTTACAGTGTTTGATTGAGTATCTGGCCAAAAGTGTTTTCCAGAAAAGGTTTAAATTGTTTCCATTAAAAAGTGAATGTTGGCCTCCCTGGTGGCACAAGGGGTTAAGAAGCAACCCATGAAGCTATCCGCAACCTCTGCAGCAAGAGTTCGATCCCTAGCCAGCCAGGGAGCAACCCACATTGCGCGGCAGACCTCTCCTGACTAGCCAACTGCTCCCCTCAACAATGTCTTTGGTCAGTCTGCCCGTTCTGTTCTCCACTCTGTCTCTGATGAATCCTCTCACCACCCCCTTCCCCCCACACCTCTGGCCGTACCCCAGCTCTTGTATGCATAAGTAAATAAATCTTTAAAAAAAAAAAGTGAATCTTTGAGAATAAAGGAATGAAGTAACCTGAGGAAGCTTTGGGATGAAATGAAACCAGAGAAAGCTGACACGTGGAGAAGCAGTCTTGAGGAACAGAAAGCAAAATGGACAAGCGCATACAGTGATCCAGAATGAGAGGTAGCAAATAGCAGCCAGGGGAAATTTCTGGAACATGCAAACTTTTTAAAATATTTTGAAAATATCAGGAAGAGAAATGGAATTTTTGCAATTACATAGGCTGAGAAACAGATTGTTTTTATTTTGAGATGAATAAGGGCAGTTTAGACTGGGATGTTTAGAAAACTCGGGACATTTGGTTAAAAGCTCAGTAGGCAAAACAACAGATTACATGGAACAGATTGAATCTATGTGCCTGGGCTTAAGGATTCAAATTAAGGGGACTATTTTGGCGAGGTAATGTTGGAATGGGTGAGGTTTGCAGGTAACAGAATCTTTCTGGGTTCTGATACAGAAGGTATTATAAGAGGGGTGGGCATAGGAGGGAGAAGTTCATTAAAAGTAGACTAAATGCCTCACCTCTCGCAAGCAGGGAGGCAGTGACTCAGCATGGTTTGTGCAGACTAAGATGGCCGATGTCACGAGGGGAACAGTTGAGCATGAAGTATAAGGCCAAGGCATAGAGGACATTGGATGTGCCAGAAAGGGTCTCTACTTGATAACTTAGTATCTATCAAGAAGGATCAAGATAAATCCAGGAAGGAAGAGGGCAACCTGAGGGCCTAGTGAAATCAGTAAAAGTAATTCCAAAGCCCTCCTTCTCTTATTTCTTGTTGCCACCCTCGCTTCCTCCATTATCTGACCTTCACACTGCCCCAGGTGTTCCTTTGGAAACCATCATGACTCTCTGTTTATCTGAATTTTCTTCCACTGGTCCCATTTCCTCAAGGTCCTACTGTATGATATATTTGTCTAACAGAATGAGCCAAGCTAACCAGTTAATGGACAAATCTACTCTTCCTCCTAGATATGCACATTTTTGCTAATGTTTTCTTAATTAGTGTCCTTCATATACATATTTCTAACAGAGTAGTCCCTGTGGGATAAAATATAACATATATATAATATATATTGTATATAATATATAATATATACATATATATTGAAATGTTTTAAGTATATAACTTATCAACTTTTAATAATATCTGCTACTGCTTTA